ACGTATGGTCTGGCTTACAACTTCACGTTTTGCTAAAGGAACGCTTCGAGGAGCGTGTCGGATTGGTCTTGCATCACCTGTGTTAATGAAATGTTTCACAACTTTGGTTCTTCCTGGTTTGGCATCGTCTTTATCAAATATGGATGAGTATCTGAGAAGAAGTTGTTTAGCCATAATTTGATGGTTTGCCTCTAGTTCCTTGGTCCATTCGTTTATTTCGCTCGATATGTCGTTTTCGTCCATGGAATCTTCCACAAGACGTATTTCGCAATTTATCACGGCCTCAATCTCTTGACACTGCCCTAATATAGCTCCTTTGGAGAGTTTGATTGGTAACTTGCACTCATTAAGTACTCTTACTGGAACACGTTTATCTTGTCTTGTCATAGCCAGGGTTTTGCCTATAAGTAAGTTAGGTGTAGATGCTTTTGTGGCCTTAACAATCCACCACTTGTTTGGCCCATAGTCTCCATCTATTTCTGCCCAAATAACTGCTTCCGATGTTGGTGGAATCTGTTGGCTCTCTGTTGTTATCACTCGTCTGACGTTGTACTTATTATCGTAACCGAACATAAGTGGCACTTCCATATTTCTATAGGACATAATCCTGTTTTCCATGTCAATTTTGATTCCTTGATTCGCTAGAAAGTCTACTCCAATTATGTCTTCGTCAACGATGTCTGCCACTATAAAATTGTGTAACACGGCTGCCTTTCCAATTACGATCTCGCACGTTACCTTTCCGAGAACTAGGGTATCTTCTCCAGTTGCAGTACGCAACTTTGCCCCAGCTAATGGTCTCACTTCCTTCTCAACCAGATCAGATCGAATTATGGAATGTGATGCGCCCGTATCCACAGTCAGTATGCGCTTTTTACCGTCTACACATTCACTAATGGTAACGTTACTCGTATTCCTGCTTATTTGTGAAATGGAGATTACAGGGCATTTGCTTGCGGGAGCCAGCCCGTGCCCTTTTTGGCTGGCTCGCTTTAGTTTAACAATTGGTTTGATTTGATATTTCCTTGATCTTCCTCAACTTTGCGTTTACGTCCAACTGGGTTATTGGACTGATTACAGTTGCGTGCAATATGGCCACTTTTCCCGCAGTTGAAGCATTTAAACACACCATAATTTTTCCTATACGCTTCCTTAGATTTTTCCAGTGCTTTCTGCATGTTGTCCATTTTTTCAAGTAATTGGTTCACCCAAGTGTGTTCCTCTATTTCTACTTTGTGAGCTTTAAATGTTTGATTGCAAAGCAGAGATGCAGTTTCCTGTGTCAGAGCATACGAAACGGTTTCTGCAAACGTCAATTTTGGACATGCTAATGCAGCGAAGCGTGTAGTGTTATCTTGTATTCCATTTACGAAAGTCTGAATTTTCATATCCTCGATGTATTCCACGGATTTATGTGCATAAGCTAAGTGTGCTAACCTCTCAATCTCTGTAGAAAACTCCTGCAGAGACTCATTGGCTTTCTGGCGGCGATTTCGTAACTCGATTTGAAAGATCTGCTTCCTGTGCTCACTACCATACCGTCTTTCTAATGCACCCATACACGTTTCATAACTACTCGCCTCGCAGTTTGGAATGGTCTGTAATATCTCCGCTGCAGATCCTTTTAATGCAACGAACAATGCAGCTACTTTGTCTTCAGCGTTCCAATTATTTGAAGATGCCGTCTTTTCGATTTGAAGCTTAAAAACGTGGAACGGAACAGTGCCATCAAAGGATGGAGGTTTTACCTTGCAGAAAAAAGCATGTTCATGTCCACCATCTTTGACGAGCATTGAGCCTCTTCCTTTTCTTCTATCTTTGTTGTCTCTTCTTCTAATTCCATGTGAAAGACATATTCCTCAACATTAATGTTTTCCGCCTCCATGGCCTCTCTCAACCGTGATTGTAATTCAGTTTTAATCCATTTGTCGCCAAACAACGTTGTTCCAGCTCCTTTTTCAGTTGTGGAATCTTCAGATCGTTAAACTTGGCCATTTTTAAATAATTATCTCCTTGGGAATTTATTTGACAATCCCACTTCTGACACCAATTGTAACGGATTTCTCGATAAATCGTCTACCTGTAACTCACTCTTGAGTTCGATCACCGGATTGTTAAATAAAAGTCCCAATTTAATGGCTATACACTTATCTTTACTTTTATTTCCAACAACTTAACACTTATTGCTCGCTATTCGAACTTACAACTTATTGCTTATAGCTTAATTGCTCTTATCACGACAACACTCTAACTAGAACTGTGTTTGCTGCACAGTCCGGCAGCCCTTAAATAGTAAATCTGTAACAAAACATTGCTTCTAGAACATTCTGGCAACTACGAATTCGCTAACGAGTTGCTTCTGGCAGTTTATCGTTCATTCGATTTTGTTCTATCATCTAGGCTCGTCACAATATTATCCATGTAGGATCTGACTTTGGTCAAGAATCGATCTTTAACTTAAAATAATCGATTTTTAGAATCGAGTTTGAATGCCTCAAGTCGATTAAAATCAATTCTAACTCGATGACTTCGACTTTTCTGTCAACAGTTATAACATTCGATGGTATAACAGTTTGTATCGTTTTCATGTACCGACTTATATATATCTTATACTTTATCGTTAAACTAACCTCTTTCTGATTGGACATAATTAAACATCATCGCTGGTATCCTTGGTAACCGTTTTAAATAAGCATAGTATAACATAACTGACCGAAATATAATTGTTTAATTTTTAAAAAAGTCGACTTGAGAGTCGACTTTTAGCAATGTTTAATTGACATTAAGAGTCATAAAATTCTAAGTCGACTCTAAAATCGAAAGTCAACTTTTCGCGCGCTGTTACCATCCCAAATTTCATGTTTGCTGGCATCATGGGACCGAAATTATGTATGTATGTATATATTATATATGTATGTTGCCGCTTCAAATGTTCTGTAGAAATGAAAATATCTCTGTCAAAGCACCAAAATGACAGTTCGTTGTTGGCAATGGATGGCAAGATATATATTTAAACTTCTATTGCTAAACGTTAGCAATGCGCAGTCTCCATTGGCAATATGCTAGCAACACAAGAATGATAAAATACATGATTACAACAATAATTTACCATTACCTTTTTCGGTTTAGGTTTTGACAATTGTTTCAAAAACAAATTGCACTATACCGCCATCTTGTGACGTAATTTTATTGAGTTGGGAAGATGAAGCATAGAACAGCATGTAAATTGTAAACAAAAACGTCAACACTTTTATTAATATATTACTTTACAGTGAAAAATTCTTAATATATAAATTCTTTATATATATATATATATTCTATTAATAATGTAGCGTGAGAATATTTGGCCTATTTTCAAATAAATACATATATCTATTGACAACATAATTACCAATTAAAAAAACGGATAAAAATGATTGTAATTGCGATGGTTGTATTTAATTAAATTTATAGGTATAAAATATATTGATTTTGAAAAATGAAGTCTGCAGTCTCGAGTTGCAATAAATATTAAGCAGACCCATATGTATAAAAACCGTCGTGTTAGTTACACTATTTATAACTCAAAACCGCCTGAACCGATTTATCTGAGGTGGCGTGGAGGTGGCTTAGAACCAAGGGACGGCGATAGAAAAACATTTTATCAATATATCAATACAATATATATATACAAAAACTATATTTCAAATCGAAAGCATGTGTTTAAAATTCAGATAAGAATCATTTGCGTATTTTATTACTTCAAAACAAAAAAAATAACAACACATAGCTACTGCTAGAGTACAACAATTTTCGTATACATATTATATTTATATTGATTGTACTGATTGTTGCTACTTAACGAGGCGGTATTTTAGGATGCACAATGTGAAACTGTTAAGACATTTTTAATATGCCAACAGAAACTCGCATGGATATAGTATCGCCAAAGCAAAGCGGCCACTTTGCTAGATTATGGGCGAACGACGCACAAGCATCGTACCAAACCAAATGCAACATCTAATATTAAAAAAAATATCGGAAAAGCTCCAGAGTGGCTCATAAATATTCGCGAAGCACAGAACAATGCAATATGATTATACAATCGCTCTTATAGTGAAGTGTTAAGAAAAATTGCTAGATATTGAAATTAATACAATAGAACTGCAGCCACATATATGACTTATACTGCAAGACAATTTCTGCACTCCTGTTCACGAAAAAATATGATTAATTGAGAGTGTATTCCTGAAGGTAAAACTTAATTGTTTGGATCATAACTAGCTCAGTAATTGGGCTACATTAACGGCCATAAGTGTAGAAGTTGATGAAATTAGTTTTAAGTTACAACAGTTGTTGCCAGGCTATCAGATGTGTTTTAAATCATCCGCTACTGTTGTTGATCAAAATGAAAACGTAAATTATATAAATATACCTAAAATGATATCACATCTTCGGTTGAAAATCGTTCAACTATTATTATTCAGCGTAATTTTAATCCACCTCAATTATGCAACAGTACACGTTAATCAAATCATACTACAGGAAATATTAGTGTAGCGACCACTTTGACTGGAAAATTTAGTACTTAAACTAACACTTACCATGAGCAATGAAGCTCCGCATGATACTAACAACCTTTGTGCTTAATAACAAATCGAAGAAAATTAGTATCAATCATTTTAAACTTTGGAAGTAATACACTGGGTTGTTTTTACACCGGAAATAACGTTTTAGTTTTAATTCATATATATATATATATATATATAGTTTTAATAAGTAAATAATAGTAACAAAAAAAATTATGTCTTTTTCACGAATTAATAAAAGTGTTTATGTATCTGTTTCCAATTTACAAGCTGTTCTATGCTCCTTCTTCTCAAGTCAAAAGAATAGAAATGTCGCAAGATGGCGATAGGCGTAGCCTTGTATTATATTATTCTTGCTAGCAATACATATATTAAGCAATCTTTAATTGCTTCTCGAGATGCTCCGTTATACAGTATATTTATGTACAGTATGGAATCGTATAAACGATTTGAAACGGTCGGGTTGAATCGGGGAATAAATTGACGGTATGTGCATATATCTGTTGCTACAAAATTTGGTTTTAGTAGGAATATTGAACTCGTTCATTTGCTGAAGATTTTGTTTTAATTGTGGGTTCTGTAATAGTTCCTTTTTTGTGTGCAGCGTAAGATCATACAAAATGCATCGCATTTAGTGAAGTTTTAATTAATGAACAACTGTGTGTTTGTTTGGATTTGAGAGTGTGAATCACTAAATAACTGAAAATTTGTGTAATAAAGTATAGCTAAAAGGCGCTACAAGGTGTGGGATGACATGCATCAAGTTTATGGCATTGTGTTTTCTGTATCGCAATAATTAAGGAACATAAAAGAAAATAGAGGAAGTGGTTTTCTTCTCATTAAAGTGGTGTGTGTTTTTCTTACTTTTTTAATTATATTAAGTAAAGTGTATTTAAATACATACATACATCTACCAATTCAAATACAAATTCACAGTATGTAATTCTCGTTTGTTTGGAACTGTAAAAACAATTTTAATTGAATAAGAAATTTAAACTGAAGCAGTGGAATTTAAATTGACATTGTGGAGTATATATGCGACGCATCCTTTTGAAATTCTTAAGTAAGTTTAACAATGATATACTTTTGTAACTGAATTGTGGAAATGTGCTAGATACTTGCTTTTTCAATCCGAATTTTACCGGGGCGGCAGCTGCAGGTATAGAATTATTGTACATTTGTTGTTTTCGCCCCTCTCATACGAGAGCGAAAGTGGGAGTGTATACGAATATGCACATATCCTGATATGTGCGTATGGGGGAATATAAACTTAAATATACTCCTATTTATATAGAACTCACGCGATTCCGTCAACACAGATAACATGCAAATGATATGTTATTGTAAATTCTTTGAGATCTGTAAAAATATCTTATTATTGTTCATTGAAAATATACATATTTGGAGAGTGATTGATTGTCGATAATTTCAAACTTTAGAACTCATATTTTTGCGTTGTGATATCTGAGGGTATCCATATAATTGTGTGTATACATAATCAGCTGTCAACCCCGACAGGGCAAAAGTTGTATTGTAAAAGGGTCTTATGTATTGTAGTTAGAAACCTATAAAATTCGTCATTACACACTCCTGTACTAGTTTGTATATTGGGTTTACCCTCATACAGTAATGGCCTAAAGAATATTTTTAGGAATCTTTAAGCGGGAAGTGCTTTCAGTAAATTAATAGTGGTAATCATAGTTCGGGAAAACTTTGGTATAACGTCCCACGCTCTGGGTATGGGCGGATAGAGGAGATCCTCCAGATCAAGAATATATATAGATATAGCCGCGGGAAACTTATAGTTTTCGAGATAATTGGGTTTAAAGTTCAAAATTTCGACTATTTAAAGTACGCATTTTTCCCATTTTGAATGAGTTATACACTTATATTTTCCACTTTTATATCCACAAACACTTCACTAATTCGTTTGTACACATTTATTTTACATTATATAGTGCAAAAATAGTTTAATTCAATAATTGAATCATTGTTAAATTCTATTAATTCTGACAATAACAAAAGGGTTGCAAAATTTCAAATAACCAGTGTTACCTTATCGACATCTTTTGTAATTGAACTGAAAGAAATTAAAACAGATAATACCCCAAATACAGGAATCCAAAACCTAGAGAAATAAACTATTACAAAGCATTGATGTTAAGTATTATGTTATACCCTCTATAACAATATTACTTTTTTCTTGTAGAACTTCTTTTTGCGTTGGCGGCCTTCGGCCGCGCTTCAAAAAAAATAACCCTGGTCGGTCCAACACCGGGGTGTATCAAAATATTTTTTGCGCAGAACTTCTTTTTGCGTTGGCGGCCTTCGGCCGCGCTTTAAAAAAATAACCCTGGTCGGTCCAACACCGGGGTGAATCAAGGTTTTTTTGCGCAGAACTCCACGCTGAAAAAAAAATAACCCTGGTCGATCCAACACCGGGGTGTTTTTCTTCGTTTACAAAATATATTAGTATGGCAACACTGGTGTTTTGACATTCACAACCATTTTGTTATTGTCAAAATTAATACATTTGAAGAATGATTTAAATATTGAAATAAAGCTATTTTTGCATCATATAATATAAAAAAAATGTTTAAAACGAATTAGTGAAGTGTTAGTGGAAGAGAAAAATTTAAGTGTATAATTCATTTTAAATCGAATAAATACGTACTTTATATAGTTGAAATTTTCAACTTTAAACGTAAATATCTCGAAAACTATAAGTTCCCCTATATATATAGGATCATCAAGGAAGTTCTTAAGAGATGTAAGTTTGTTTTCAACATCTGTCAATCTCGTATCAAGTTTCTGTTGCTGCTGGGAAAAACTTTGTTTTGTTCAGAGTATTTAGGTCAGTGCGGATACCTGCGAAAACTCTGTTCAATTTTCTTCATTTGTTTTGTAAAAGGAGATAATTAAGAGCAAGAATTTTCTTGAGATATATTCTTCATTTGGTTTGGTAAAGGAGATAAGTAAAAGCAAGAATTTTCTCGAGATCATTCTTGTTGACGGACATTGCGTGTGAATTAGCATATTTCCAGCTAGTTGAGCATTTTTTCCGGAACTCAGCTAGGTAAACATTAAACTCCGAGTCACTTAACTTACTACACATTTTGTGATACCAATTTTTACAGTCACAGCAACCGATACAACCAGAATTCGCTCTAATTAGTTTAGCACAACGTTCACACATGTGTTTACTTTCAGCCGTATTGAATTTTTATATATTGGTTTTATTTATTGCAATTAAAGCTATTTTTGCACTGTAGAATGTAAAATGAATGTGTACAAACGAATTAGTGAAGTGTTAGTGCATATAAAAGTAAAAAATTCATTTAAAATTGAAAAAATACGTATTTTAAACAATTGGTATTTACATCCTTAAACGTAAAAATCTCGAAAACTAGTAAGTTTCCCCCGGCTATATCTATATATATTCTTGATCTAGAAGATCTCTTCTATCCGACTATACCCGAATATTCAGTATTCTAAAGTTTTCCCAGTTATATTTTATATATCTTTTGCTGCTTACTTTTGGATTTTGAGATATTTGCATTTAAAGTTAAAAAATTCTACTATTAAAAGTGCGTATTTCTTCGAAATATGATTTTATACTGATATTTTTAACTTTTATTTCCACTAACATTTTACTTATTCGTTTCTAAACATTTGTTTTCTATTAAATAGTGCAAATCTAACTTTAATTCATTGTTGTTGTTGTAGCGGCGGAATTATACCGAGATGACAATCCTTGACCGGATAAAAACGCGGATGCGTTCCGGTAACGTACATCCGACTGTCGCGGGAACGGAAGTTAGAGTTCTACGCGAAAGAACTGAAGACGTCTCGATGTTGGACCGACCAGGGTTATTTTTTTGAAAGCCGCAGGCCGCCAACGCAAAAACGAGTTCTTCGCGAATGAACTGAAGACACCCCTGTGTTGGGCCGACCGGTGTTATTTTTTGGGTAAATTATAGAATTGCATCTCCCGAGTTGGGGATTTAAATGAGTTTGTAGAGGAGGTTCTACAGATTAAGAAAATCTAGATACATACTTATGGTTTTTGAGATATTTGCACTTTTATGTTCAAAAATTCAACTATTTAAATTATTTATTATGCGTAGGATCCTATTCTGCATTGCCGGCCTTTGACCGCGCTTCAAAAAAAATATCCCTGGGATCTTTGCAGAGAAAAAGCGAGAAAAGTCGGAGAGATAGCCGTTTATGACGGTAAGTGCTATAGTGCTGCGCACTTTTTGAAAGCCATGCTGATGGTCTGCTAGACTCAGGTGGTGAGTAAATGTCGGGAGTGGGTAGGCCTGAAGTGACTTCACTACTGGGGAAAGGATAGTTCTCAGACGATAAGACTCCCCTTTTTTGGCGGGTTTCCAAGGTTTCAGCAGTGGGACCATTCTTCCCACTTTCCACACATCGGGAATTTGAAGAATGGTCAGCGACAGGTTGAGGACCTTGGTGAGATAGCTTATTCCCGTCGAGCCTAGATTTTTTTGCATCACCATGTTTATTCCATCAGGGCCAATGGATTTGGACTATTTGGCCTTGTTGATGACATTGTAAACCTCCTCATCAGTGAAAGTGGCGCGCAGTCTTTTGGCATTTTGCGCAGCCGTCGTTTAAGTCGTCGTTTGGTCTTGTTTGTCGAAGGGTGCAGTGTGAGTTGCCGGCTAAAAAGGCTTGCGCACTTCTTCGGGCCCGAGGAGGCATGGCCATCGAATTGAATTTCAACCTGGTCGTCATGTTTTCTCGGATTAGACAAGGCCTTGACAGTAGTCCAAAGTTTACTCACACCGGTGGATAAATGCAGGACTTCAAACGCTGATTCCATTTTGTTTGCTTATGCTGATTTACCATTTGCCGTTTCTCCAAATTGAGATCCCTTATAGATCACATTGATCAGTATGGCGTAAGGTGTCGCGCTCGTTGGCTAATACAGCTGCTCCGGCTGGGAAGTAAGGGCGGAGTCCCGCAATTCTTCCAGCCGGTATGAAGATAGCAGTAGCAGCAGCGATCACCTTGCGGCATTGACGTTCGCCAACGATGATGTCCGCAGGAAAGGGTAGTGCGGTGCAGGTGCTCTGGGTAAATTCTGTGAAGCCGACCCAGTTAGCTTTGTTAAAGTTTAAAAGGTTTATCGATCGAGATAATTATGGGCAGATAGTCATAGATCAGACCACCGTTAGCGATGTACCCCTGCTGGCGATGTCACCATCAATAAGACGATATTGCACTGTGCATTGAAACCTGCACAACTTAGAAGATCTGAGCAGCTGTTAAGCTTGGTTTCTTAGACCGCAGCTATCGATACGCGTTCCCGGCTCATAAATGCACTGTCTCTTCGACCTTGCTCTGGAGTCCGTTGCAATTAATTTACAGATGTCGGGTTTGTCTCGGGTGTTTAGTGGTAATCCTGGGGGTGAGGGAGGTTCGTATAGGTGGTGGTTGTTGCAGCTGTTATATTCGCAGGGGCGGTTGTCGTTTTGTGGTGTTATTTGGCGACGCCGCTCTATGCGATTGCGGGGGCAGACTCCTACAGCACGGGGCAACATACGACACATTCCACTCACTTGTGGAACGCAGGCCGGAACACAACAGAGAGTGACACCAGCCAGTAGAAGAATTGCATTTGGCTGATGTGACGTTCTGGCGTATGACGATCTGACACACGGAACAAACAGTGCGAGGAACCAGGAGTTGTTGAATGGTTCTAGCACGAGGATTGGAGTGGGATGAAGGTTGGGGGGAGGATTGATCAGAATGGGAGTCATGCTGCCTGTGTGAGCTCCTTGGGGCTGCGGGGGTCCTTCCTTAGCCACTCGACTGGAGTGGCAGTGCGCGAACATGGTGCAGCTTGCACAGGCGTTGAGACAGGTGTCGCAGTTGTGCGTTGGCAGCATGGGGCCACATAACTTGTAGTCCACTCCCTATCGTTCTTAAAGCCCAACAGCCCTGGGCCAGATAAAATCCGGGTCAATTCCGGTAAGTTGAACCGGCTGTTATGGGAATTGGCGGTCTTCGGTCGCGCTTCAAAAAAATAACCCTGATTGGTCCAACACCGTGGTGACCATAGTTCTTTTGCACTGACGGCAATATGGCAATGATATTTGTCATAAATGTTACCACGGTTAGGAACAGCGTTGATGTTATTATATCGGGTGTTTTTTTTTTGAGGTATAGAACTTTAAGTTGGCATTACTGTTCAAGATGGCGACCGATTTAACAGCTGTCAAGTGATGTATTCGCAGTTTGGTTTGGCAATTCATCGTAAATAGACTCACGCCTGAACAACGCTTGCAAATAGTGCAATTTTATTTCGAAAATAATGGTTCTGTGCGTAATACCCCACTACGTTCATTTTATCGTCGACTGGTTCGGGTTGAATGGCTACGTCAATAAACAAAACTGCCGCATTTGGAGTGAAGCTAATCCCCAAGTGTGTGTCGAATCACCGTTACATTCAGAAATACTGACTGTTTGCTCCGCTTTATGGGCTGGTGGAATCATTGGTCCGTACTTCTTCAAATACGATGATAGCTAGAACGTTACAGTCAATGGTGATCGGTATAGAGCCATGATTACTAACTTTTTCATTTCTGAATTGAACTGTGGTTCCAACACATCAAGACGGCGCGACATGTCACACAGCTCGTGCCACAATCGATGTATTGAAAGTCACGTTTGATGACCGCCTAATTTCACGTTTTGGACCTGTTAATTGGCCCCAAGATCTTGTGATTTAACACTGCTATACTACTTTCTGTGGGGTTATGTAAAGTCATTGGTCTATGCGCTTAAGCCACAAGCGCTTAACCATTTGGAAGACAAAATTCGCCGTGTTTTTGCCATATTCCATATTTTGCAATCGACTAAAACTAAATAAAAGTAAGTATTATAATCGTGTGATGAGTTGATGAATCTCCTTCCTCTTCGTAAATCCAGGTGTTGGATCGACCAGGGTTATTTTTGAAGCGCGACCGAAGGCCGCCAACCCAAAACGGAGATCTACGCGAAAGAACTGAGAACACCATGGTATTGGGCCGATCAGGGTTATTGTTTTTTCAAACGCGGCCGAAAACCGCCAACGCAACAATTCCCTCAACAACCTGTTCTACGTTGCCGAAATTGACCCGGATTTTATCCGAATAAAGACTGTTAGTTAGGCGATCTAACCAGAGAACTTAGAACAACGAGAAGGTGCAGGTTCGACAGCGAACAATTTGTAGGATTTTATCAAGGAGTTCACCTCACATACACGAAAAACAAATAACATTTCTCGCTTTTATAACAGCGGTGAATCTGTAAACATACGCTCTCTTAACATAACCAAACGGCGAATATTGAAGAGAATATAATGTGTATGCCAAACTGGGAATATTGATATGCTATTTGAAACATATTATATATATACATATATGTACACTCAATTCTTCATGTGAAATCTCCGTTGACACATTTTTTGCTTTTATGTCAAAGAGTCTATCTGTCGAAGGACTGACGCGACGACAAAGCGTCACAACATTGTGTTATTGGTAGAAAATCCGAGATGTGCCGAAAAATAAACGAACGCTCGCCGATTGTCATCATTTCCCTTGCCGCTCTAACACAAATCATTGTAGGTATGTATGTATTTATATGAACATGCATACATATTGACGAAGATTTTTGCGAGCCACGGAAAAATATTTTAGAATTGTGAAATATTTTAAATCGACAAAAGCTTTGTCATTGATTTCTGTGTTTGCAGGGTTGTCACTTTTCCTTTCTAGAGGGAAAATCAGAAAGATGTTCAATTTATGATTTCTAGCTTTTGCCATCGTCGCGAAAAGACGCTATTAGGCAAGCGCATGCTCGGGGAGATGTGTAAGGCGTTTGCTTTTATGAATGAAACGACTTAGCTTATTGCTTGTGCGCCAGCGTTCATGAATGAAAATGTTGTTGGTGTGTGATTTACTACAAATTTAGGATTTGTCCATACATACTTACATATAGATCAGTACGCGCACATGTATTTATTGATAAGTGATAATATATTATTATATTATATGACATATTGATGTACATATGTACATACATAAATTATTAGTTCTGTAACAATTGAAATTAGAAAATTATAAAAATAGTAAAATATCATTTTTTGCATAATCTTTCGCATTTTATCATGCCTCATTTGTGCAAAAAAAATCATATTTTATAAATTTTTTATCATAAAAATCGTTTATATGGCAAAAAATAATCATGCATATGTGAAGTGGCATTTGTATTTTTTGTTTTCTCATTCATTTCATTTCATTTTTCTCTTTATGTTAGGAGATACGTAATTTGTCAGAGAACGTTGTTAGAAATTCTCATTTCTGTTAAATAACAGCAAATCCTACAGAAAATGGTGAACTCCTTGATCTTAATTTTTCAGCCAACCAATCGAGCATCATACAAAATTCAATTTGCACCTTTTCGTTGTTCTAAGTTCTCTGATCTAACCCTGTTTGAATCGGTATGTTTTAGTCTTAAGTTTTTCGTCCTTAGAGCAAGTGTTGCCTGACTATCGCTGAGTATGGTAATACTCTTATTGCGATAGTTGCGTTGGAGGTTTATCTCTACACACCGACATATAGCATATACTTGCAAGGAAAACTTCACATGGGAATAGAGAGCTTGGTGTGTGGTCCAGCGACCCCTGAACCAGTCCCCTCCGCCGTTTTCTAGCCGTCGGTGTACCACTTGATAGTGCTATCCCTTAGCAGTAGGTCCAGTGTGGAATCATTCCATTCCGCCTTACTGCCAAGGGTAACTTTGAACTTCTTGGTGAAGGTTACTGCTTTGGTAATGTTGTCCCTTGGAAGAAGGGCCAGTGGCATTTCGTCACTTATTACCTTCCCTTTGCCAAACCTTTCTGCTGTCGTTTGAAGCCCGACGCGCAGATGCAGGCAAGTCACCGCTCGTCGTCAAGT